AGAGAGAGAGAGAGAGAGAATACATCACTGTCGACCGCTGTCATAGTGTCGTCGTCGCCGCCGTCGCCATCGTCGTCTAATTTTAAGTGTTAGATAATGCACACACCGGTGCGCACCGGTGCGCTCCGATACTAAAACGGTATCGCGCTCGTGCGCATGCGCGTGAACGAGCTAGAACGAACGGCAATGGCGCCCTTTCCGGATCTCACGTATCTGTCCTTCTATGTCCATTTTCTGCGCTTCAAGATGATCCCCACCAATATATTCTTCCGTTTTCGAATAAATTAAATAAGCTGCGAGACTTTATCGACCTTCATCGCACCGATGAAAATCTTTATTCGAATTTTTCGCCAGGTTTCATTTTGTCTTTCCGATTTTGCTTCGCGTGTCCTTGATTCCACGTGCTTCTTCGCACGGTCTTTTCCTCTCCTCTTCCTCTTTGATACATTTTTATCTTCTTTTAACCCGAAAACTTGTTCGGCAACATATCTCAATTTTATTTCTCCTGACTACTCAATGTGTTTATGCGTTTCTACAATTTTTAGAATTCTGGCTTTATTATAAGTCTCTTTGTTGTTCAGTCAACGCTGACTTTGTTCTGCTCTTTCCTGCTAATTTTGCGCAGGTTCTCATTAAAACGTTCCGTCTCTTTTGACAAAAGAATCTTTCATTTCACCCTTTCTTTTAATCCCGTTCCCACTCAAACATTTTATTCCATTTTGATTATTTTATTCTAAATCCCTGCTTTCTCGGTTTAGTTTGTTTCACCAGATGCCTCTTCAATTCTGCCTTTTCATTTTCAGTTTTATGCGTTCCGTTTTGTCTTCTTTGACGTCTGATTTGATATCATATGCTAGATTTTCTGAAACTTTTATTGTAACAATAATTTTTTATTTGTTGTCATAAACATTTTCATCACTTTTCTTTCTTTTTTTCTTCCAATTTGCGAGTCTCTTTCTCTCCATATATAATCTTACTTGACCTCTTATTAAGTTAGTCATCATCTCTATTTTCTCATTTTATCTCTCTCTCTCTCTCTCTCTTCTCTCTTTTCTTTTTGACTCATCTTCGTGACCAATTTCGCCATCCACCTTCTATTTTACTCTACTGCAGTTCCTCCCTCATTTTCTCATCCGTCTCTGTCTCTTTCTCCTATCATCACTATATTTCTTCTGGCTTGCATATTTTGTCATCACTATCTTTCTCACTTAACCGCCGCTTTTCTACTTCCGCCTTTTAAAGGTTCATTTCTTATTTTGTACTCGTCTTCTCTCTCTCTCTCTCTCTCACTCATCGTTTTCTCTTCAATTTATCCGCTTCGTCTCCTTTCGCCATCTCATTTCTGATCCACTTTTCGTCTCTTTTCGTCCTCTCATCTCTTCTCTTACTCGCACACTCTCACTTTCCTTTCCTTTCCACCCTTCACTCTTCTTGTCTCTCCGCTGTTTCCGACGCTCTTCCCCCATTCTCTATCTCCGTCTATCTCTGCGTGCTCTAATATGGCCACCCGGTGTCCAATTACTCGCTCCGTTCTCGCTACAGTTTTTCGGTCGCCGTATATCCGCTGACAGCTGAACGGATGTAGAAGGATTCTCATCAACTCTCGCGCGCGCGACATGCCTTTCTATTTTCCGCTTTTTCTTCTGCGATATGCAACCGTTCCGTTTCATTCTTATTCACCGATCGCGTACCAAGTGATGGCGTTCTTGTGTATTCTTTTGACGACGCGCGCGTCGTTACGGACAAACCGATNCGCGATCTCAATATAAATAGGGAATTTGTGNCGGACAACAATGAGATAGAAGAAAGAGGTTTAAAAATAACATGTATAAATCAGTTNAAGTGCAAGCTGCATGACACTAGAAAACACACACGTCGTCTCTCTTCTTCTTTTTTGTTTATCGCGCNAGTATATCACTACCTCGCAGTTGATAATCGGCTCGATTTCCGAAATATATACGATTCTGTTTGTCTNAAATCCGAAAAACATCGGGCGAAACAAACGCCACTCGTAAAACCATTCGATGTATCTCGATACCTTCCAAAAGTGTTCCGTGAATGCGCGTGATTGAAACGATAAAAAAAAAAGAGAGAAAATAACGGTGCAATATAGTGTGTGTTTACTNATTGCGCCAATTTTTTATTACCAATAAAAGCCCTGAAAATATTGATTTTTTGTGAAAATTTCAATGTAATTTTTCCGTCAATAACTCGGTAAATTTTAATTTATTTTAAAAGTAACATATATATATATATGTATATACACTCGGAAATAGGTTTTTAAATTTAGTTTTGAAGTATTACATCGCAATAATATAAAATACGTTTGAAATAGTGTTGACAAATGTTTATATTCTATAGAAAAACATTCTTGTTTAGAAGTTATAAAAATAAAATTAACTCGTGCAAATGTGTGTTTTGATTGTTTCTGAATAAAAAAAAAACCTGAAAGATCAAACCGACTGAAGGATATTTTTCTTGAACATAACAGTGTTAATAAACAGTTTTGAGGAAAACATTGTGTGTTCCGCGGAATACGGTGAATATAACGGTGCTTTGATTGCAAACGTGAATTACACAAAACATGAATTACAACAACAAAAAAACTCTACAGTGGAAAAATATGCGTTTTATTTAAAAATACGCTTCGTAGCCAATCGTGCCCGCGATACAAGCGCCATGCAGGACCGGTGGCTGATTTAACGTTGACCGCTTTCACTCGGGAACCGTCGCCGCGTCTCTGTTTATCGCTTGTCTAAAAACAAAATCGCTTTTTTTTTAATCGGATAGTGGAAAAATTCGCTCGGTTTCACGATAGTCTGTGACGAGAGCTGTTATCGCGACAATACGCGACGACGAGATGCAACATCGAGATTTACGGACATCATGTAAATTACGACAATGTTTTTTTTTTTATTTTTGCCGCTGCGGTGTTTGCGGAGTCTCACAACGCTGCCATTACTAATTAAAACTATTATATTGTAGCACCGGCTTAACTTTGGATATCCGATATTTTTTTTTCTCACTTTGATCTTGGCAACGTTTCGGTCACTAATCACGAGAATCGTCCTACGCGAGATCGTCCTGTAACTCGGCCAAAAGATCACGTCGGCGCTTTTGATCAGTTATCTTCATTGAGCGTTTCCCGGTGGCGTGACAGCGCGTTTAAATTTACACGACACATTCATGTCCATACATACATGCGCGCAATGACGATTTATATGGGCGAGGAAACCTCGCGATTTCTCCAAATTTCGGTTGCCTCGGAAATTGCAGTCATGTCGCGTTTCGCGTGTTTGAGCCGCAGTTTAACAAAAGTGGATCTCTGGTTTCTAGCTGTCACAGCGCTGGATTTTAGTGACTGGAAAGTACAACCACTCGGGGACCACTAGAAAGGGCCCCCAACCGGGGACGACCGCCGAAAGGCGGTCAACGAATCAGGTAAGAATTTTTGTAATCAAATATTTTGTTAGTTCCCTAATCCTCTTGTGTTGAATATATATGTATTAACAACAAATAGTGACCGAGCAATTTTTAACAAATTTGGTAGGTATACCTATTGTGTTATATATTTGTTGCGTTCGAGCGGCGCTTACGCGCTACGAGACGCTGACGTCAATGCAGAAAGCTTTTTTGTGTTGTATTGCGAGCGTTAACAACATGGCGAACATAAATGAAAATAATCGTATTGAGTTTGCATCGCAACGGATTGCAATTTTGCGTGGAATCGCAACAATTTTGACGAAGTTTGTTGATTTCACCTTAATAATAGGTAAATAATACGTGTACTTGTCCAAGTCGAGCAGACGAGAGCAGAAAATATTCGCATCAGCTTTCAAGAAGCGCATTTCAGCACATCGTGCCTCACTTTGAAATTAGTAATGACGTCGCAATGCAAAAGCACATCAACAGTACTTACTATACTTTGTCAGCGCTACAAAGCACAATAAAGTGTAATATTACGAAATAATATTAAAAAATATATCAGATTAATTAGTAAGTTAGCATGCGATTAGTAATGAGGTTTTCAGCGACTCATTAGCAGACTTTGAATAATGACTCTACCTAACCTTCGATATTGTAAAAATAATTGGTCGGATAACACGATGGTCGATTAACGAGTTTTAGAACTTCTTATCTTGTTAGTGAACTTTGTTACGCGTTCGGGATATAATCTCTCTGTCAAATCTATCTGTTCGTTAAAAATATCAAAATTTCTTTTGGGATAATAATCGCATTATCATCCTCGAGCGAGAGTTATTAAGAAAAAGTCGACAAATACAAATGAATTCGCACTAATCAATCTTCGTCACGCGCTACCTTATATAATCTACAGCTCATTGCTAGAGGGTTGCTGACTGCTGCTCCCCTCTTTTTCGTCTTTCGTTCTGTCTTCGATCCGCAAAGCTTTGTTTTCTTACTTTTAATATATATCGTAAAACTGAATATAATTATGTTTATCGTGGAATATAATTATGTTTATCGATTGACGAAAAGGAATAATAACGTACTTTGATTTGTTACGTAATGCGAGATATCTTGTAACATTAATAAAATAATTAAAACCTTCGCGTGCGCCAATTTTTTGACGCGCGAACTTTTGTACACGTTGTAATAAAATGCAAATATTCCAATACCGAATTGCGTCGTATGTTGCATATATATGAGAATTATAAAAATTAAATATATTAGAATTACAAAAAAATATTCTTGCACTCGTTACAAGTCTAAATATAAAATATCAGTTACATACTCAAAGTGCGTAAATATTATGCGCATAAATTAGTAAATGTAATAATTAAGTCAATAATATTGGATTTACAAAACAATGAAATAAAAATAGCCTTTGGTTTGTAAATATATGTCGAAATAATAGAATACATAAACATCGGAAAATTGGCTTTGTATATTTCAATTTTAATTAAAAATATTTTTTATTTTATATTTTGTAGATACAATTATTAGTTTCTTTGTGTACACATTGTAACGTAAGGAAGTTGACTGACAATACAAAAACACGTCAAAAAATTAATCACGTATAATACTCTATCGTTTTATAAAACGTTTTTATGATAAACCGTTGGAGGCAACTGTAAGTCGGATCGATATTTTACAAAAATGGACGCCGAGGTATGATTTATCGGTTTTAGAGTAGCGCGGTATGTAACGCCTGATATCGCGTTGCAGTTAGTTATCACAGACTTCGGTCGAGTTATCGTAAAAAGTCATTGGCAGAATTGCAGAGTTGCCAAGTGAAAAATGGGTCTTCATTTGTATAGGTGGATCTACATTTATGTCCATTCCTCGCACTAGCTACAAGAAATCCATTTTTCTTCTGACGTTGAGATCGAGGAACCGCTCGCCTCAAATGAGTTTCATTCTTCTTTGTCAGAAGTGAATTCATCAATTGCTTTTTGTATCAAACATATGTTCGCACCGATTTTCGTATTCTTGAAACTGTGTACCTATCTATTATATATATATCTATACGATATATATATAATATGTAATATACATTCGACTTATTGTAGAACAGATCTAAGAATTAGCCAATCATATTAAGAAGTTTTGAATCACAAGACTGCCATTTTTGAATATAAACGATTGTAATTGGTCAATTCTTATGATATGTTACGGCTACGGCTACTTGTGTGTAAAGGTCTTGTTGAAGAGCATTTTCTCTTAGTACAAGTCTGTGCTAAGATATACATAAGCAGTACTACATTTTTATTTTATTTATTAATATTACATGGTATTATATATATATATATATATAATGTGTTTTACATAAGTAAATACTGAAAGGAAGTATTGTAGTTTAAAGTTTTTTTTATAAAACCGTAGTCCTACACATGGCCAAGTAAAGATATAATTAAAGATATAATTTATTCTCATAGAAAAAAAAATGCAAAAATTTTTTCAAGTGTTTTTAAGCTATAAAGAATAAAGACTTGATTGTTTTTATAGTACAAGATAGTATGAAGTTTCTGTTGCTATAGTTCATTTATCTTTAACATTATAAACTTGATAAATTAAGTTCTCGACAAGTGCGGCTTATATACCGAAATTATCCTGTACGCGCGCGTGTGTGTTTAATCCGAAATCGCACGATTTAATTATGTTGTAATCTATAGTTAATCTATAATTAATCTTATTTTTCACTATGGATATTTAAATTAACTGATCTTGTAATATAACGTGATTGTGTACATTGCACATATTCCAATATCACACGGTGTTGAACTTTAAATGCTCTACGTGCAAGGATTATAATATCACAACCAAAATCATGTGGATGCGGAATTTGTATGAGAAATCCGATGATTCATTAATACTACGCGAGATTACTCCGTAACGTTATTTACACACATACACACACACACACACACACACAAATATAAAGTTTGTTCGTAAAAGCGAGTGTCTCTAGAGTAACATTATAAAATGTCTGCAATTAAAAATACTGCGTTTTATTCCTCGAGAAAATTGACAAAAAAGAAGATAATTACTTTAACGTAAAAAGATGCATAACACAATTTCATAACGTTTAAATATGTTAACGTGTGCTTTTTGTGAGAAACTTTTATTTACTTTTAGTACACATATCGCGTGCTTTTATTATATCTACAAAAAATCATTACAATAAAACTGATAAATATGTAATTTCTTTCTTTTTTTTTTTTAATAGATAGAGATATATTTTGAGAAACATATTTGTGGAACATATTTTATTCACGCGCTGAAGCAATGTCGAACATTGCGTTCTGAAGAACGCAAACTTCGTTTGGTATTTCTGTACGCTGCTTCGCTAGGCGATTCCGACGATTAAAGAGATAATTGAATTCGCTCAGAAAATACCACTGCTCTTTCCGCGCATTTTTTTTACAGTGTTTCATTTTTACCAGAAATAATCTTNGTTCTCTTCTTTGTTGGAAATAATGCGGAATCGCTTAAGATAAAAATTACTTGAAAATGATGAAATTTAATTTCTCTCTCTAATATTAAATTTTCCTTTTTAAATGTTAATTAATCATAATTTTTATTCTATATATATTACGTTTGACCGAGTTTGCTCGAGTATAAATTGTATAGTTACAATTGTGTCGTCNAGATATATCAGTCAAGATATACTCAGGCAGTGTGCAGTATCGTTGTACATATATAGTTTTGCATATGTATGCATATATGTACATATATATGTACATATATGTATAATATATACTCAAAGTATTTTATATTTATCGTGCACGTGTGCCAATGAATTTTGTTTGCCTGCGTCGCAGCACATTTTTTCGTTCAAACATTGTGTATTCGTGATGCATTTTTACGTCGACAAAAATTGACTGTCACAGCAAGAGCAACGTCTTTAAATCGCAGTCTTTCCCGAAATTAGATTGCTCCATAACAAGTGACAGTAGTAGATAATCTCTAGCTTTTGGTGCTTTAATGCTTTTTAGCATTTTCTAGTACTCTCTTTCTCTCTTTCTCTTCAGTCGTGTCGTTGTACTCAGGAATAGTACGCGCCGAAGAATTGTGTAGCAAAAGTGGAATGTTGCCGCACGATTGAAAGAACGCATCGCGAGCTAAGTTACAAAATGCATGTAAATAAATGTCGTAAAGGAAAGAAGAACAGTTTTTCATACATATTTCTCCACACATAAAAATGCAAACAAAAAAAAAACGTCCGATGGCAAATAAATTCAATTCACTCATAACGAGCATAAAGTCTAAGTCACGCGGAATAGCTTTTATTATCAAATTATTTACAGTTCAATAATTCATATAATCAATAGCAGTGACATTTTATCCGTCGAAAAGCGAGATATATATAATACACAATATAGAATGTCTCATTTTAATTGCTCCAGACAAATATCTCGAGAATAATATGGAAGATAAAAAAATGTTTCTTACATAAGGATCAAGAAGGTGATGCTGACGTCTGTTTGACCTCNAAATTACTTTGAAAATTCTTACTAAGATTATCTTTACATTTTTTTAATAGGGACTTGTAGTTTTCATTACATATGTTTGTAGCTAATGTCAAAANGTTTTCAAACCACTATCTATATATGGCTTGTCTTTTGCACGAGCCATTTTCGAGATATGAAGTTTTAAAATTGACACACTGCCGGCCGATATTCGTTTATATCTATAGAATGAAAACCTATAAACTTTTGTTTTAAATCATTGCTAATCTTGTATACGAAGTGAAAATGTAGTCTACTCAGTAACTGTTCGTAAACTTTTTTTCTTGTATTTTTAAGAGCATTCCATTTTTTAGCATATTTTTCTTTTATTCTAGAGAAGCGTTTTTCACATTCCGATTAATAGTTTTTACAAAAAATTGAAACTACGAAATGTGGGTAAAACAGGACGGTTCAGCATNCCCTTAAAATAGGATTCTATACATAAATATGTGTACATATTTATATGTGTAT